GAGACAGGGTCTCGCTATGCAGTTCAGGCTGACCTTGAGCTCACTTTGTAGCCCAGGCTGGCCTCAAACTCTCAACGATCCTCCTGTCTCACCCTCCTGAGTGCTGGGATTACAGGCATGCACCACCACACCCGGCTTCAAAATTTTAAAAAGAGCTGGAGACATAGCTCAGTGTGAAGGCCCTGGGTTCAATTCCCAGAACAAGGGAAAAAAAAAAGTCATCCCATTGTAAACTGAAATGTAATTCACATACTGTGAAGACCACCCTTTTAAAAAAGACAATGCAGGGGCCGGGGATATAGCTCAGCGGCATAGCACCCAAGTTCGATTCCTGATACCCACCCCCAAAAAACCCTAAAAAATACAATTCAGTATATTCAAAGTCATGTAAACCATCACTACCAACTTTATTTTTACCGGGGTTAACAGTCACTTTCTTTCCCCTACCCAGTCCCTCGCAACCACTGATTTTCTGTCTACAGATTTGCCTATTTTGGACATTTCATTTAAACGACATGGTGGTCTGTCTGGCTTCTTCCACTTAGCGTAATGTTCTCAAAAACCATCCATGTTGCTCCTCTTTGCAGTTAATAGCCCATTATTTGGATATGCCACATTTTATCTATTTAACCACTGATGGGCATTTGGGGTTGTTTTTACTGAGAAAATTATGTCGCTGTGAACATCTGTGTATGCTTTTGTGTGTGGGTTTTTCAGTCCCACTGAGTATAAGCCAAGGAGTGGAAACTGTTGGGTCACAAGAGCTGTTGAATTTTTTGAGGAACCATCAAACTGTTCTCTACAGGAGCTGCATCGTTTTACATTCCTATCGGCTCTGTACCGGAACTCTAGTTTCTTTTCTCACCAACACTTGTCACTTCCCTCTTTTTCCTACTAGTCCTCATTTAGCTACCCTATGGTGTACAGGATGTGGTATCCCACTGCGGTTCCCACACACATTTCCCTGATGGTAATCCCTTGCTTATAGGTCATTTGTGTATTTTCCTGGGGAAACTTTATTCTGATCCTTTATCCATTTTTGAATTTATTTGTCTCTTTATTACTGAGTTTTAACAGTGCTTTGTATTTTCTATATATGAATCCCTTATCAACTGTATAACTTACAAACATTTTCTTCCATTCTGTGGGCTTTTTTTTTTCCATCTTCTTGATGGTCCTCTTTTTTTTCCCCTAGGTCTTTGAGTTTTATTGGGGAGTCCATTGTAGTGTGGGAAGTCTGTTCAATAGATCTAGACTTGTGAAATGAAATTCTTTATCTGGTCCCTCTCGAAAGGTGCAGAGCTGAGGAAGAAGCCCACTGTTCTCCTCCCTTCCTCTAAATTAGCGTCATCCAGCTCTGGAATATGGGGCCTGCATGAGGCCAATTCTCTGTGTTGGCAAGGCACCCCTTAGTAGTCTGCACCTAGTCCTGCAGGACAAAGTAACTGCCCGCCCAGTGGGGTTTGGTCTTGCTAGCATGCTGTAGAGGCACAGCCACAGGTCCATGTCTGTCTGACCAGCAGGCCCAAGTGGCAATAGAACCCAGCCTTATCTCTCCACAAGACTTGCTAGGATGCCAGGGAGATTGTCCAGCCCTAGCAGATAGCCATCCTTGCGGTTGATGGTATTCTTTGAAGCACAAAAGTTTTTAATTTTGTGGAAGTTTAACTTACTTCTTTTGCTGTTTATGCTTTGCTTCACTTTTAAATGAGACCAGAGTTAACTGGAGGCACAAGATTATCAGTAGTCCCCATACCAACTTTAGAAAACAAGTCAATCCCTAACACCTAGCCCCAGTGGTCCTATCAAGCACAAAATCTTAGAACCCAAAAACTGAACACTGCCAAAGAAAAACTTGCATTATAAGACATCAGAGTTCAAAATGAATTTTCTAAGTAATCATTTCAGGTGTTTAAATGAATCTATTCAAAATCAAGGTTGATCATCTTGTTGGAAACAACTACCTGAGAATCAAATGGTCACATAAATGACAATGCAAACAGATAAAAATCACAGGAATGCAAGCAGCAAAGTACAATTATTCTACTGGCTACTGAAGCATAATAAATAACAATTAACCAAAACATCTTTATTTTTTAGTCTTCAAAAAACAAACTCCTTTTCTCTTTCTTCAAGATAATCATGATTAACTTAGTAAAAGGCGAAGAATTTATACAATCTGAAGAGAAACCAGAAAAATGTGTATACAATACATCTTCAAAGTATTTTCCCTTCATGGGAAACAGCTTTATAGAATCTAAACATTAAAAGGTTAAAAAAATTCTATTTTCTTGCCATTATAAGACAAAACAGAATCTACAAGAAAATCCACTCATACTTCTGGTCCTTCTCCTCCAGGAACTAGCTGCATTGGAGAAAAAAAGAGTTTATTATTAACACCACATCATTTAAAAAATCTGGAAGTGCTTTTCATCAGCCAAAGCCACTTCTGCCTCTTTGCTTCTCACATTCCTATTTTCTCCAAGTCATCCATATCTGTTTACAATTCCTCAATCATCAACTAGTAAAGTGTCTTAACAATGGTCTCTGACAAAATTAAAGAGGAAAATGCACAAGAAAAGTAATCCTTAGGCTCAATGCCTTTTCAATAGCTCAGCTTTAAGGCCTGGACCATCAGAGAATTCCTTTCCCATGTTAAATACTTCTTGGTCATGAGCATTTAAATGAAGCAAGCAGCAGCAGGACAGGTTAGTTTTGTAATCCTAGTCCCACAAAAATGGGCTAGCATTTAAATAAAACAGCTTTCATGTGTCTTACCATGGTTATATTATTTCCATTTAGTAAGATCTGATCTAATTTAGTAATCCTTCTTCCTTCTGGTGTGATCTCACTAAATAAAGAGATAAGACAAAGTCAAGACAAACAGGTAATCAAACCCAACATTTTGGAAATATTTTTCCTCCCTGAAAAGATTATTCTTGGGGCTAATGGTGTAGTTCAGCGGTAAAACATGCTCAGCATGCACAAGGCTGTTTTCAAATCCCCAGCATCAAAATTCTTGCATATGAATTTGAAGTGAGGCAATTATATTTATTACTTTTCAGAAACAAAAGTAGTATATATTCTTCATCAAAGGCAACAGGGTAAATGGGTTGGCCTAAGACCGACAGTTGGATGCCTCAGTCTTTTTCTTTAAACTCACTGGTTTTTTGGTTTTTTTTGAGACAGGGTCTTGCTTTGTAGTGCAGGCTGGCCTCAAACTCACTGCAATCCTCCTGCCTCAACCTCCTAAATGCTGGGATTACAGGCATGTGCCATCACACCCAGCCTAAACTCAATCTATTACTACTGATTGTTATCCATTAAAACAGCCTATAGGGCTGGGGATTTAGCTCAGCAGCACAACACCTGCCTGGCAAGCGCAAGGTCGTGAGTTCGATTCCCGGTACCGGAAAACAAACAAACAAACAAAAAAGAACAGCATATAATCCACTTAAATTTTCAAAATAGAAAACACTGGTTGTAACCTTTATAATTATTATATTTATTAATTATTTGAACTATATTAATTACATTTTATGTTACAGAGCCCTAAAATTGCTGGCTGTTTTTAGTAACTTCTATTTTACAGTTTTCTTTACACTAATTTTCTAGCAATTTACCAATGATTACATTAAGGTAATAACATGGTCCAATTTTACAAACTTCAGTAAATATGTCTTCAGGAAATCCAGCAGGAAATGTTTTCCCATCAATCATTTCAACAACTCAACTGTACTGAAATTAAAAGTTTTTAACTAAAGAGATTCCCTCCATATAATTTTTAATGCTACTTACAACTCAGTGACATCTTCCAGCACCATATCTGAATTTGGTATTAAGAAAATAAATATATTAGGCTGAATTTACTCTGGGTTCTGCTTTTGTTCAGTTTTAATTATGCCGAAAACAATGGGTAAAGTACAAAGGGCTAGCTGGGAGTGGTGGTGAACACTGGTAATCTCAGCACTCGGGAGGCTGGGGACGGACTGCCATGAGTTCGAGGCCGGCATGAGTTACAATGAATTAAGGCCAGCATGGACTACATAGGGAGAGGTTGTTTCAGAAAAACCAAAACAAACAAACAACAAAAAAGTTGTTGATAGGAACTTAACCTTTCAATACACATACCTCTTAAAACTATCACAAAGAACTGGAGGTACAGCACAGTGGTAGTTTGCTTAGCATGCATGAGGCCTAAGGTTTGATTACCAGCACAATAAACACTATCACAAGTTCCCTGAAAATAAAATGACTTTTACTATAATAGAAACATAATGATGATGTATAGTTTGCATGTTATCTTATGTTACTAAGTACATAAAAAACTATGCTATCACTTTTTAAAAGGATACTGACAAAGTCATCAAATCCTAGAAGAGTGCCAACAATTTCCTTATCACTCTTCATCACAATGTGAATTCTTGATCCTATACATTTGTCCACCAGCTCTGTGGAGAGAAAAGGATTGTTTTTCTCTATTCGTTATTTCAAATAACTGGAGTGTTTACATCATCATTTGCATATGACTAAGAGCTAAGACTAGGTCTTACGGCTCAATCATTAACAGGAAAATTTTCCTTTACCTTTACTTACCCCTTCTTTGTAGCAATTTACCTATACAGTTGTGACTCTATCCTTTACTTCAGTAATAAAGGAAGACACACAATACTCTCTAACTCCAGTAGGGCAGAGATCATGGTTATCTTTGTTCCTAACTGTATCTCCAATACATAGTATGTGGCACATACCAGACATTCCAAGCATCCGCCATATGCAGGAATGAACTTTTCAATTACACCCACATTTTTGAACTAAATCATTCTTCACCAGCTACAAAACATTTGAGAAAGTTATCTTCACCAGAAACTTTTTCCTGTTCGTTCTCGGCTCATTCCAGGAAGTCTCTCTTCTGCAGTGATAGCAGCTTGGACATCTTTAGCCAGCCCAGCGTTATCCAGCTTGATGTTTACTGCTGCGCCATTTAAAAGCAATGGCGAGGGCTTAAGCTCATTGTTGAGCAGTGCCCAGCCATGATATGCGACTTGCTTGTAGGATGGGCGGATGGATGGGTAGATGGAAGAATGGATGAAATACAGGGCCAGCTTCCACCTGCCTCTTGTAAGCTTTTTGTGGGCTGCGGCGCTGCTCTCAATCAGCCAAATGTGCGACAGGTCTGAATAATTTGAGAGCTGTAAATGCCAGCTGAGAAGGGAGCCGCTCCGCTCACGCTGCGCCAGAGCCTGCTGCACCGCGGCCGAGCCCGCCCTCTACCCACGCCGCGCGCCAAGCCCGCAGCCTCCGCCTCCCTGCCCAGGCGCGCAGAGACAAGGGCCGGAGCGAGCCGCGGAGACCGAGCGCTTGGGCCCCACACAGCTTCCCTTCCTCGGCCAGGGCTGCCTCGGACGCCGTTCTCGGCCGAGTTCCCCGAACACAGACGCTTACCTAGCGGCAGCAGCTGAGAAGGGTTAGTGGTCGCGTTGGCCGCCATCACTACGCCGGAAGTGGCCTGAGTCCATCGACGTAGGGACAGCGGCTTTAAACGAACGGGCTTCCGCTTTTGCAGGCAAGACCAATCGGAGGCCGAGCGTACGATCAGATCACTCGAGGCTCTCGTGCGCTGTTTTCTCCCAGCCTGGCGAGCCTCCGTGAGAAGCGTGTTTGCCCTCAGCGAATGTGCACTGTGCTCTCGAAGTTTCAGGAAAACGTTAATGATAGCCCGCCTCGGGAATAACTATGCTTCTGAACCGAAAGACAACGAAATAGGAAAACTTTTAAAGTCATTTTAGCCGGGCGTGGTGGCGCACTCGTGTAATCCCGGCACTGGGGAGGCTGAAGCAGGAGGATTGTTACGAGTTCAAGACCATCCTGGGCTATAAAATGAACTCAAGTCCAGCCTGAACTGCATAGTTCTCAAAAAGACAAAAAATAAAAATAAATAAAAAATAAAATGGTCTTATTTTTCCCTAGAAAGTTGCTTCTCAAGCCACGATCTTTTTTCTGAACGGTAAAATCAATTCATACTTCCTGCTTCCGACTTGCCATTCTGCAAGTTCTGCAAAAACTATTCACTTTCTTAAGGAATCTGCTGCTGCTAGATCCAGAGGACTGAAAATGAACAACCAGCATTTTAAAAAAAGAGAACATCTTTATTACAGACTTTAAATCTTTCAATTTTTTTCTACTCTAATTCATCGGGTTTTTTATCTGATTCTAATTTAAATTTATAGGCTTTTCATTATTTCTACAAATATTGTCCAACAGGCAACCACCAGATGTCGCTCTACACGTGGATGTCATTTGTAAAAATCATGCTTTTGCGCTTCTGCTATAAAAAGGGTAGAAAGTAAACTTCCTCGGTCCATTTTATATTTACATCCTAGAACTTAAAGCTAAACAGTATAAACATGAGAGGTCACATCATCCATCCCAACAATAAAGGATTGGTAGGTACCCATCATATCTTAGTTGAACAAATACCTGTTTGTTGCATGTTGTTTGCCCAGCAGTCTGGCAAATACAAAGCAATATATAGACTAGAAAGGGTCTTCTGCCCTTGGAGGAGTTTAAAGAAAAATGGGGGAAACAAGTACAAACTTCATTTTCAAGGCACTATGAAACAACATATAATAATAAAATAATTGGTAGCTTCAGGGATCCCCGAGGACTATACTTTTAAAATCTCAACCCAGACCTAGTTTCCTGGGGGAAAGACAGGGTTTTCCATAACTATTGAGCTAGAATCCAGACACTTGTACTTCTAAGTAATCTTTACAAGCATGTTATCAGGCAAGCGTCCTGTTTGGGTCTAGATGTCCCTCCAAAGCCTCATGCAGTTTTAGAAGGGCCTTTTTCGGCGGTGGCTGAATCTAGAGTGTGTGATTGTTGGTGTGATGCTGGGATTAATGAGTGATTGCTAGGTCAGTCCACTGACTGGATTGGCACAGCCAATCCAAATCCCAGCATCCTGGATAGAGTATAAAAGGGGCAGAAAGACACTGTTAAGGTTGGGTTGCTGCTTTTGGTATCTTCTGCTGCCATGAACAGTTGCCCCTCTGCCACAGCACCCTGACTTAGAGCCAGCCAATTATGGACTGAAACCTCTACAAACTGTGAGCTGTATAACATCTTCCCTTGCAAACCCTGACTACAATAGCAAGTATCATGATGAAGTTATTTCTATTTAGAGAAGTTAAATAACTTGCCCACTGGTCTCATAGATGACCTGAGAAGCTTTATGAAGGAAATGATAGGCATCTAGTCTTGAGGGGTGAAAAAGAGATAGACAGAATAAGACAGAAAAGAGGCAAGAGCAGCTTTTGAGTAAAGGGAACACTATGCACTTGGTGCACCTCCAAACCTCTATTGTTGACCTGTTATTTAAATTTTATATACTTCCAGTAAGTTAGGCATAAAATCCCTCCCTTCCCAAATGTATTTCCTTAAAACCCGGCCTCAGTGATTTTACTTTATGATGTTCTTCGCACAACCCAAGTCCCAATAAAATCTTGCACATTGTTCAGAACCATGCTCAGATATGACCACGTTCTCTGACTCTTGCAGGCTTATATTCTTTTACTGCTGGGCAGTATTGTTAATAGGTCTCAGAAGGTTTTCAGCGTATTTTCTCTTAATTATTCAACTAGGTTATCTCTCCCTAGAACACAGAGTTCCTTAAGGCCAAGAAAGTTTGGGAAGCTGTTGAATATATCGATTAAATCTATTGTATAAAGAGCCCTTCCCAGTCCTCATCGAGGCCCAGGAAGTTATATTTATAATCCCGTGGAAAAGTTATTGGAATTCCAATTCCAATCTACTATTTCCAGTGCAACCCATGGCGAGAATAAAGGCACTGAGGCATATTTGTAGTTATGGGGAGCCCAGGGGTCCTAATTCCAGCCATGATGATGGCTATCCGGAACAAAAGCCTCAACCCATGTCCAACCTGGGTTTTATTCATTCATGAAGAAAGGAGTGGCGTGAGGATGAGTGACTGTGAGAATGGCGGGAAGTAGATGAGTGTTGTGAGCTGGCCTAGGTAGGAGGCCTGAAATCACCTCTGCAAACGCAGAGAGAAGGATACACAGAAAGCCTCTTTCTGAAGGCTTGATCCCAGCCGACAGCATGGAGCACTGGCTCTTCATCCCAGCTCACAAAAGGAGCAAAGAGTGGGGGTCCAGGAAAACATGCCTGCCGTCTTCAAAGACTATCATCAAGGACAGGGATATAGCTCAGTGGCACAAGTGCCTGTAGTTCGATGCCCCATACAAAAAAAAAAAAAAAACCAAAGACTACCATGAGCGCTTCAACTGGACCAATATGCTTTGCTTAAAGCCAATTGAAGGGATTAGGAAAGGATCCTAGCCAGCTCTGTATACATCAATACATGGAAATAGGGCCAAGTTCAGCCAAAGTGGAGACAATTGCTCCTCCTTCAAAGAGAGTCGCCCAGGTGGTCCTCCACACTGTTGGTTCTGAATTAGATTACTTTCGTTCAATTTTCAACTCCACCACAATTCCTTTTAACTTAGGATTGAGTTGTTTACGCTTTTTTTTTAAGCTTTTTTTTTTTTTTTTGTCTTTTTGAGAAGGGGTTTCACTATGCACTTCAGGCTGGCACTGAGCTCACTTTGTAGCCCAGGCTGGCCTCAAACTTGCAACGATCCTGCTGCCTCAGCCTCCAGAGCACTGGGATTACAGGCGTGCACCACCATGCCTAGCCCTTAATTTTCATAAATGCAAAATAATACCACATTTACTTGTGAAGCCCTATTTCACCCTTTGGCTTTTCTTCTCTATCCATATTCCTGTTTCATGTTCACCATACCATAATGAGAATATGAATCAAATTCAAGGCATCATCATATCTTAAAAATGTTCAAAAGTCAGAAAAATATACTTTGAGAAAGTCAGTGCCAGGTAGGGTAGGTAGTACGCCCACATAACGCAGCACTCAGGAGACTGTGGATGATTTTGAGTTCAAGGCCAGCCTCGACAACTTAGGAAAACCCTGCCTCAATTTTTAAAAAAAATTGAGTTTTTAAGTTTTCCATTCAAGAACAAAATGAACATTAGCAATTTTCAATGCCACTAAAGAAAATTAAAAACTCTTTAGACTCTCAAAAATGCATGATAGATAAATCATTTACACTGTAGCATTAATAAGGATTGCAGGATGGGAGTGTTTTATTTCTTTCCTGAGGCAAAACACAAAAAGAAACACTAGTCCAATTTCACATAGAATTTTAATAAAGTTGAAAATTTGTCATAGCTCTACATCACAAAGATTTTCTCCCTCTAGCTTTTTCTTTAACCAAGCAGATGCGAATAGAATTTATAATTCATCATAAAATATATGTAACTGGAAGAGGCTCTTCAATGTATTGTGTTCAGAAGGCAGTTCTAATTTTTTTCCCCTTGAATTAAATGTCATCACATAAATACAACCAAAAGCTTCTTTTCAAAATAATATTCAGAAAAGTATTCAGCTATCTAAAACTAGTGTTTCCAGTCTTGATAATTTCCTTCAGTTCACTTTTTAAAATGGGAGAAATTTCTATTCTTTTCCAATAGGTATTTGTCCTTGTGAACTAAACTGTATATTGCTAATGAATTAATTCTACATTAATATAACTCATTTAAAATCTAAGGTAAAGTAATTATTATTCTACACTGTTAAATGGACCAGTTTGTATATTTAGAAATGAAGAAAACCCTGCAAATTCCCTCCCTCACAATCTACCAATTTTCCTGTCTTCTTTGTTTATAGCATTATCTTATTTATTTGCTTATTTCAGTGCTGGGGATTGAACCCAGGGCCTGCCTTCACACTCAGCTATATCTTAACCTTATCTTAACCTTATCTATCTTAACCTTATCTATCTATCTATCTATCTATCTATCTATCTAGACTCAAGTTCTCCTTAAATCACTAAGTTGCCCAGGCTGGGCTTGAACTTGTGATCCTCCTGCCTCAGCTTCCCAAAGTACTGGCAGTACAGGCATGCATATGCCACCATGCCGAGCTACAGCATTATTTGAAATGATATATTTTTAAAACATTGAATACATGATTTAATCTTAAATGAAAGCTCTAGAATACAAAATAGATAGTAGTTATGAGTATATGATTTAATCTTAAAGGAAAGCTATGTTATGTGGTGCATGCCTGTAATCCCAGCACTCAGGAGGCTGACGCAGGAGGATCCTTGTTGAGTTCGACACCAGGCTGGGCTACAAAGTGAGCTCA